TTGTGTCCGTGGCAAAGTGGAGGTGGGGCACAATTGTCCTAGCGTTGCCTGAGATCATTGCAAAGCAAAGAGCGTTGAGCATTGTGTGGAATGAGCAAAAATTCATGGAAGGTGGTCGCAAGGATGGTCAGGATTCCCAGCAGGATGACCAGTTGGACTGCAAGACCATCACAGCAACTCTCAAGGACCCGCTGTGGTGGGTGTACGCCAAGATGTTGCTTGCTTTGCACGAGACAGGCAATTTCATCTCAGCTTGGGGCAGTGGCTGCTGCTGCCACGAGTGGCTGCTTGGCAAAGCCAATTCGCATTGGCAGATCTTGGAGGACACACGGGCAGAACGAGGCCTATGTGGCCCCAGTGATGGCCCTTCTTGTGCATGCAAGATGCGAGGTTGGAAAGGCTGCTTGATGAAGATGCAAGCGTTGAGCCAGGCAGCCCTGGTGAGTGGGGCAGTGTGTCAGACGAGGATGAAGCTGCGAAACTTGCCAGCAATTCCAATTCCAACAGCAGCAGCAGCAAGGATGTTCCAGGCTAAGGCATTGCCCCACATGATGCCAGCAAGCTAGACCCCGTGCCCTTGAATCCAGAAAAAGAGCCACAGCCAGTGCCAGCAATCTTGCAGCCAACAGAGCCTTCTGCGTCTGCAAGGCCGGTTCCGGAGAGGAGTGCCAGCCCAGAAGCCGTGTTTGGCAAACTACCGAGTTGCAAAAAGGGAAGCAGCCAGCTTCTTGGCAGGGCACATGCCCCTACCACCGAAAAAGTGCGGCCACCAGATGCACAAAGGCTGTGACCTTTTCCACTGAGGATGAGAGTGATGCTTGCCTGCGCAGGATCAAGAACTGGCTTGTTCAGGGCCCCACCTTTCTTGATGCAAAAACGCATTCAAGCTTCCACCCACGGTTTGCGGATGCTCCGCCGCACGAGGTGCTTGATGCCCAGGCGGAGAGTTTGTCACCAGCCCCTGCAGTTGTCATCCCGGATGATGAGCATGAAGGTGGAAGGGGTGAAAAAAAAGGTGGAAGAACGGCGGGCAAAGGCAAAAGCCAAGGTTGCAGCGAAGGGTAAGGCTGTCAAGGCCAAGGCTGAACCAAAAACCAAAACTTGCAAGCGCAAAGCAAAGCCTCAGCCGGCAGGCCCTGCATCAAGATCTCCGCCGGGAGGTGGCCAGGTCGCCTGCCAGTGAACGTGACGCCGTGATGGGGCGCCAGATCAGCCAAATTCAGAAAGCAGTGGTTCAAGTTCAGACTCTGACTCTTCCTCTGGCTTTGGTATGTGCCAGCTGCAGCCTCAACTTATTGTCAGGTGTCAGTGTCAACAAAGCCTTGCGCATGCCGCATGCAGCGTTTGTTTGCTTCAAGGTGCACACCTGTGACGTTGCCTTCCCGTGCGCTTTCCCACGCAGGCCGCTTTGTGACCAGCTTGAGTTTGTTGTGTCTGCAAGTGTGTCCTGCAACCGGCTGGCCACCTGCCACGGTCCGACGTGAGCAGCCCAACCCTCAGGACGCCGTCCTTTGTGAGTGTCAGATTGATCAGTCTTTGCGCTTGCATTCCTTGAGGTGCCTTCTCTTGTCCGAAGTCTTCTTGCCGGCCCAAAACCCAGCTGTGTGAATTTCAGATTGCGCAGTGCCATGTGTGCTTTCACGCCGTGAGGATCATTCGTTGTTTGTCAGCTGGCGACAGCGACTTCTTGCAGCCCGGTCCTTAGGTTAGGGCTTTGTGTGAAGTGCAGGTTGCGCTTGTGTTCCCTGAGGCGCAGGCAAGCAACTCTCAGATCAGGTGCATTTGTGTTTCTTTTTGGCCGCAAGCTCATTTCCATCCAGGCCAGGCTGCCAGCGATGCTGGGCATGTGCTTTTTCATCTCTGGGCAGCCTGATCCTCAGCACTCTGACTTGGGCATTGTCACATGCGTTTGTGTGCTTGGAGGTGTTTTTCTCATGCAGCGACGCAAGCCCCTTTTTTTTGGGGATTCACTTTCACCAGCATGTCCTCTTGGCAGACATCATGGAGGCCATCATCATGGAGCCCATCATTGCGGAACCTATTTCAGCAGGCGCCTTCACAGAAAGTGCAGGTCCCAAGCACATGGGATCAGGACTCTGAGTACGAGGAAATCTCGGTGGAGATGGAGGGGGCGTCAGAGGCGGAGATTGCGGTGCCTGATGAGCGGAACACCCAGGAGAAGAAGACAAAGCCGAAGGTCCAGAAGCGGAAGGCGCAGCCCGTCCGGAGGCCGAAGGTGAACCAGAAGCCGAAGACGAAGCAGTACACCATGTGCCAGCACTGCCAGTGTCCCACGCCAGTGGGCAGGATGTTTCACAACGTGAAGGACATCCGGGAGAGGGCCGCCCGCTTGAAGCTCAAGAGCATGGCCTTGAGGGCCAAGCCACCGCCTGCTGCTGGCACCCAGGCCCAGATTCCCACCTCCACGGACAACACGGCCAGAAGTTGCGCCAAACGCCTGGCGCTGGCAGGGCGCTTGGTGTGCCGCAACGCCTTTGAGCTGGTGGACAGCGAGGTGGAGAGCGCCTCTGATGCCGAGGAGATGAGGGAGGACTTGCGCAGCCCAACCGAGCTGGTCAGTGAGAGTGAGTGAGCCAGGCTGCGCGCAGCTTGAAGGGCCAAGGTGAATCAATTTCAGGAGCACGAGGTAAGGTGCAAGGTGTTACCTTGGTCCTGGGCTGCAGGCCTTTGGAAGTTTGCCTGTAGGCTGTAGGCTGCCAGCAGAAGTCAGCGTTTTGAAAGTCAGCATTCAACAGAAGCCATTTTGCTGGCAGCCGCAAGCCAATACGTGCTTAGGGAATGGGTCGGCAGTTTCACAGGCTTTCGTATAGCTGGCATCAGCTTGCAGCCAATTGCGCAGAGATGCAAATATGTTTGTAAGTTTTGATTGTGGTTATCAGCTGCCGGCCTGTAGATGCTAAGGGAATTGGTCAGCGGCTTCGCAGCCAACTGCCGGCCGGTAGGCGCAGTAGGAATGGCTAGCATCTGCATCTTGAGGGCCAGGGTCAAATTGAAGGTTGCAGAGTAGCACGCAAATGCGTTTCAAACCCTGGTCACCTGTTAGGGGCCAGCGGCTGGCCGGCCCAACAGGTAGCAGGACATGGCAAGGAGCGTGCAATCCATCAAGCCAGGCATCACGCCTGATAGGCTGAACAGCCAATGGGCTGTGAGGTGGCCAAATCACGTTGCAAGATCTTCCATTTTTTCAGAGTGGCAGAGCATGGCAAAGCTGGACATGCCGGTGGCAGCTGATTTGAACAGTCAAGGCTCTTCAAGGTGCTTCTGTGTGCCAAGTGTGTGTCCATGCGAGCCTTTGCCCTTTTTTCAGCCAGCAAGACTGGCCCGGCAGACAAGGAGAAAAGACACGCTGTTGATTGCATTGGAGTTTGTGGCCATTCCGTTTCTTCCTGTTCAGACTTTGCTCCTCTTGCCGGCCTAGGTTTGGCACCTGCCTGGCAACGGGCAATTGCGGTGCGGCGGTGCAGGGCTCAGGTGCTGGCGGAGGTGGATCATTGACGATTGCAGTTGCAGTTGGCGTAGGGTTTGACTCGCTTCAGATGTGCGTGCTGTGAAGGTCAGTCGATCCTGGAGGCATTGATGATTGCGCTTGACTGAGTCATTAGCCCTTGGCAAAAAGACCGAAAATCCTAGATATGTTTGTTGTAATCGACTGTCAGAACTGCGCTACAACAGGTCGTGGTTTTGGGATTTCTTAACTTAACCCCACACAGGACTTTGTTGCGCACAATCCCCAGCCACGCAATATTGCCATGGGGCTGTTCCTGGTGCGCCCTAGCTAGTTTTTTTGCAGCGCAAACTATATGTTTTGTGCCGTTTTTTCTGCACTATTATGGGTTCTTGAGATTTTTCCGGGATCGATTGGGCGGCTATTAATTAGGGCTGTTCCGGGTGCGTCCTAGCCCCCTCTTCTCAGCAAAAACTCCTCTGCGTCAGTATTGTTTTTTGCTTATCTTGCAGAAGCGCCCACACTGATCTTAGTTAGGGTTTGAGGTTGTGTGAAGTTGTGTGGTTGACCAGGTCTTGGGTGCGCTGTGGCCCACGACTTTGTCTCCTTTGCGCTGCTCGGGCCTCACATTGCTCGCAGAGTGCTTGAAGGGTGCAGAAGCCTCCTAGTTTCTATCGCCTAGGCGTTTTTTTGCATGTTTTTGGGTAAACCAGATGAAATTCATGGGATCTGAGTGAAGTTTGGCGATTTCTGTTTTTTAACAGCAGTTTTGCTGCCTCAAGCTGCACACTAGGCCAGTCTTCAGTGTTTTAGCGCCAAAGCTGGTCACATTGCTGCCAAAATTAGGCAAAACCTTGGCAGACTCGCCAGAGATCGTCGCTCCTGTGGCAGTTGTTCGACAATTGTTCGGCCATAAGAGGTTTAGGCAAGGCAGTTGTTCGGCAGTTGTTCGGCAGTTGTTCGCGGTTGTTCGGCAATTGTTCGGCAGTTGTTCGGTTCTTGCTTGGCAAAGACTGTAAGTGCTGTGAAAGTTGTTCGGCCAGTGTTCGTGCCGATATTTGCTTGTTGCGTTGCGGCTTGTTCTGTGATTTTTTCTGAGGTGTGATGTGGCGGAGGCAGAGGACACCTTCTGGCTGCAGAAATTCTTGGAAACTGAGCAGGCGCGGTGTTTTCTGCATCAGTTTGGGCTGCAATCGCTGAAATTGAGCAGAAACTCATTGAAATGTTGAAGATGTGGATAATTTTTGCTTCATTTGGCAATGTTGGGTGGATGTCAGTTGTGGGAGGGCTCTGTGCAAGCGGGCTGGTCCTTGATGCTCAGAGCTGGTTCAAGGGTTCAAGCTGTGTTGGTGCGCATTGGTCGGTGCCCAATGGATCAGCTTCCCGAGGAGCCGATTTTGCCGGTCAAGAGGAAACTCACCTCAGATCTTGGCGAGGTGTGTCTGGGCAGCGGGATGCTGCTTGAAGATCTGGGGCCTCAAACGCATGAGGAGATGTTCATGTGGCCTTCCACATTTTTGACGCAACTTCGGTCATGGGCGGGTTCCGCAGACCTCCCGTTTGACCGTGCCATCAACAAATTTGAGAGAGGCGTGCAGATGTCATCCAGCTACAGCGGGCTTGGCGCAGCAGAACTTGCCACGCACTGGCTGAAGCAAGGCTTTCGCCTCCGTGGTTTTTTGTTTGGGCCAAATTCCTTGCAGTGCTTGCGGGCCTCAGATGTCGATGAGAGCTGCAGGGCTGTTCTGGAACACATGAGCAATTCTGACTGTGGCCCCGCATGTATCTTTCGAAGCTTGCAAGAAAGAGCCCCGCGTGATTTTGTGAGGCAGGGAGCCTTCCCAAACCAGCTTTGGTTTGCTGATGGTTTTGGAAGTGTGTTGATTTGTTTGTGGGTCTTGAGTGCTGGTTAGTGTGAAAAAATGCGTGTGTGTGCGTTTTTGTTTGTGTGTGTCTCTCTCTCTCTGTGTGTGTGTGTGTGTGTGTGTCAGTGTACCCGCCTTCATGCGTGCGTGCCTGCCTGCCTGTGTGTGTGTCTCTCTCTCTCTCTCTGTGTGTGTGTCAGTGTGCCCGCCTTCATGCGTGCGTGCGTGCATGTGTGTGTGTGTGTGTGCCCGTGTGTGTGTGTTTTGTTTGTTTGTGACATGTTAGTTTTTGTTTTTTTGTTTGTTTGTCTGTCTGTCTGTCTGTCTGTTTGTTTGTTTCGTTTTGTTTTTGTTTGTTTGTTTGTTTCTTTTGTTTGTTTGGCAATTGTTTGGTTGGTTGGGTTGGTTGCTTTGGTTTGGTTTGGTTTGGTTTGGTTTGGTTTGGTTTGGTTTGGTTTGGTTTGGTTTGGTTGTTTGTTTGTTTGTTTGTTTGTTTATTTTGTTTGCAATTTGTTTGTGTGTATATTTTGTTTGTTTGTTAGTTTGTTTGTTTAGTTTTGTTTGCTTATGTTTGTTTAGCTGTTTGTTTGTCTGTGTGTGTGTGACAGTTGCTTTTCAATTTCCCTTGCGGAGGCTGGTGGCAGCCAAGATCAGCAAGTTCAGCAAGCAGCTGGATGACAACCCCAACGCCAAGAAAGATCGCCAGGCCATGGCAGCCTTGAGCAAGCAGTTGGTGGAAGAGGTGAACTCGGAGGTGCTGGCGCCCCTGTGGACATTGGATGAGGCGGAGCGGCAGAGGCAGCTGGCAAGGACTCACTACTGCTTCAGGCATCGGGGCAATTGTGTGGTGCTGAACGCCGCAACGCCAGGCTCCTTTGCCTTGGACATCTCGGGCAACGGGATGCAGTTCTTGGGTAGCTCCTCCCTTCCGTGGTTCTGCTGGGCCCGAGAAATCATTCTTTGCCAGCCGGGTTGCTTCGTGTTGGAGAATGTTCAGCCCTTCCAGCATGAGCTGGCTGAGTTGGTCTTCATGCCGGGCTATGGCGTGACAGTGTTCCCTTTGTCACCTGATGACTTGGGAGTGCCGGCCACTCGTGCTCGCAAGTTCATGACCTTTGTTCAGCGAGATGCTTGGCAGTGGAGCCCGGATGTAGCTACCTCGCCTGCAGATGCCTTGCTCCAGCTGTTCAAGGGCGCATGCCATCTCCAAGGGGAAACGTTTTGGTGTGCGCCCTCGGAAGTTGTGGACGCTGAACATCAAAAATGGGCTGATCGCAAAGGCTTGGGTCGGCGCTTGGATGGCAAGTCGTGGAAGACAAAGCAGCTGATGACCAGCGCCTCCCGAGAGAGATTGAGGAAGTGGGAAGACAATGCGCGGACAGCCAATGTCAGCCCACATGTGATCATGAACACCACGCAGGCAACCGAGAGGAGCCCCTTCCCAACCAAGGCTTGACAACGGGTTCTGCCCTCTTTTGCATGTCGAAGCAGCGGATGCTGCTGCACCATGAGATGCTGGAAGTTCAGGGCTGGACGAGTGCCCTTTTCTTTGCCCGTTGCGTGGTATGGTGTTTGACAGTGAGGAGCCAGTTGCTGCTGCAGCCTGGAGGTGGATGGCCGGGAACAGCATGTCCCTGCCATGTCTTGGGGCGCTGCTACTTTTCCAGCTGGCCTTCTTGCAGCCTCAGCCATCCACGTTGACGACGCCAGAGGCTCCGCCCGCCGCATCAGTGGCACCAGCCGTGGTGCGCGAGAACGAAACGCAGCTGGACTTTGAAGAGACGCAATGCGAGTCCATGTGTTGAGGTTGCCAGACTGGCGCGACATGAGGGAAAAAGCATTGCGGGCTGTTGCAGGTGCCATTGTTGCAGATCAGCTTGTGCATTGTCAGACAGATTGCAAACGTGGTGCTGTTGGCGGCCAGGCCTGCTTGACGGAGAGCTACTGCTGCATCCTTCTTCAGAGGCCTGGCGTGACGTGTTTGCAGGTTCTGTTGGAAGAGTGTGGTGGTGTCACTGTGACTGTGGCAACTCGCGTCGCTCAATGAGGGTGTGTCCAAACAAACCAGTGAAACACACGCACACACACACACCACACACACACACACACACAGAATTCACATACGCGACAAGCGCATCCCAGACACACAGGGTGGCGGTGTTGCTAGGCCTTCCCACGACAATGGCTTTGGCTCTCGAAGGCGATGGCATGCAGGACTTGGAGCATTGTGGCCCAGCGCCAGCAAAGAAGGCAAAGGCCCAGCCAAAGAGAAGGCAATCTCGAGGCAGCAGCGCTGGTGGTGCAAGCGCACAGAAGATGGGCCAAACAAGAAGTGCGCAACTTGCAAGAAGAAGAAGCCCGTCTCAGATTTTCACCAGCAGCAGGGGACATGCAAGCCCTGCTGGAATGCCATTCGCGGACTGAAGCGCTTTGCCAAGGCGCAGGGCCAGGAGGTGCGGTTGAAGGCCCTGTCAGAAACAGAGCACACCGACTTGGTCAAGGCATACAGCAAAGAACATGAACGAGCCACAAAGGAGCGGAGCCGTGTCAAATTTTCCATAGCTGCGTACAAGGAAGCCACCGTGGAGCAAGATGGGGTCCGTTTCAAGGCAAGGCGCCGACTCATGACAGAAAAAGTCTTCATAGAGCACGCCCAGACCACAGAAGGTGGCGACCTTACCAAGTCCCAAGCTGAGCAGAAGTGGCAAGAGATGCTGGGCGACCCCAAGACCTTGAAAGTTGGAGAAGGCAAAGCAGTCAAGTGCGCCGTGGTCGTCTGCACAGACATTGTGGATTACAGCGACATGGCAAACCGCCGCGAGGTTGAGAGGCAGCAGCGGCTGAGTGCCAAGATGACCGATGAAGAATGTCGCGGCAAGGCAAATGGTGTTGGGCAAGTGGGTGTATTTCCTTGTGTTTTTGTTTTGGTGCGTTTGTTTTTCAGTCGCGTTGCGGTTGCTTCTGGCCAGGCTGATGCGTTGGTGCTGTCCGGCCAGAGCTCGAACAAGCGCATTGGAGACGCTGGAGGGGGAGGAGACGCTGCTTGAGAAGGCCACCACTTTGGGCATGCCCTTCAAGATCAACAGCAAGACGGCGTGGTGCAACTTCCGCCAGCTGCACTTCAGTCGTGGCAGGAAGCGACAACAAGGCCTTGAGCTGAAGATGCTGAGTAAGAGCCTAGTTGTGCGTTCAGATAGTAGACGTAGGGTTTGTGCGGGTTTGTAGGGCGCGGCAAGTTGTGGATTTGGGCGGGCCTGGGCAGGACTGCTGCGCTACGGGGGAAGCAAGGTGCTCAATGACCACGGGACCGCCGAGGGGTGGAAGACTTTGCTGCGTCATGTCGTGAGCCAGAAGGCGGCTAAGGCAGCGGCAGACGACAAAGTCATCAAGCTTTGCTGGACCAGGGATGCTGACATGGCTTACAAAGCTCCGCGTGCTCTCAAGCTGTACCGTGAGTGTCCTAGAGTTTAGGAGCCGCCTGCCAAGCGGATTGCGCGGTCCTCACGCCGCGCCTGAGTGCAACGCATTCTGAGCTAATTCTTCCGTTGCGGGGCGGTCACGAAGATCCGTGCTGCGCTGGGGAAAATAGGCTTGGCGAGCGCTTGTGGGGTCGTGCTTGACTGCCGTGCTTCACGGCGGCGCGTGATATATGCTGCGTGTGTTGACTGCAGCAAGAGACTGCTCACCGCTTTGGCTCCGTGCTGCTGCGTCTTGGCTCAAAGGGAGTGCGACTTAGCCCACACTGGCATGTTCGCGTCGTTTGCGCGAGACTGCGGCCACAGTTTCGCCGCGCCGGGAACTTTGCCGCGTCAAATGCGCCGATGCTCTGCGTCGAGCGCGAGGATGCCCTGCTGGGCCTTGCCATCTAGCTCCTGCTTCGGCCGAGAAGAGGGGTGGCTCTTCAGTGTTGACACAGCCAGCCCCAACTGGAAGCGAGACCTGCGTGCGCATCAGGACGCGCGTCAGGCGCACTGCCACCAAGGAGAGGCGCTGATAGCCCAAGCTAGAAAGATGCGAAGGCATCAGGCAGAGAACAAGTGGGAGTGCGCTGAGTGCGGACAGCACGTTGAGAGCCTGCGCGATGCTGCGCATCATGCTTGCCCAATAGCAGCTGCTTGCGGTCCAACGCGGAGGAAGCGGAAGAAATCCAGACCAGCTACTGTTTCAGACTCCCACGGCCAAGCGCTCAATGTGCCCGAAGACCTGCTGTACGCCGCCGTCACGGAAAAATTTGCGGAGCAAAGGAAATGCTTGGGAGATTTGGAGCTTCTCTTCCCCTCACCCACACTGCTCAGCGTCCAAGCAAGCGTCGCTGCTGTGAGTCCTGCGCTGTCACTGCAGGCCCTCTAAGAGGGACACTTTTGGCTGCGTTTGGTCTGTGGCCAAAAAAGGACGAGCTGCTTCAGTTGAGGCTGTTGAGTTCAGGCGAAGGCCTGTAGACGGGCGACGGCGCTGCGCCTTGCATCCGGATGGCGGTGGCTGCTGGCGCGCTGTTTTGCCTCTGGTGAGCAAGGCGATTCATGTGCAGCCAGAGCTTGTGCAACCTGTTGCCCTTGTGCCCCGGCCCGGCCAAGCTCAGGGGTCTTTTTGGGGGAGAGGTGCTTTGCCTTGTGCCAGAGCGCGGGCGTGGAGTCTCAGCCGGAAAGCTGCGTAGCAGAGCTGAAGAAGTTCATTGCGGAACAGCTGCCAAAAATGCGCAGAAGGCGGAGTTCTCTGTTGTCACGCCTGCGGTCGCTGAGGTTCTCAAGGTTTGCGCTTGCCGCCATTTGTGCTCACTGAGGGTGCCGGCAAAATGCCCGCAGGCGCTCGACGGGAAAGTGTGTCAAGTACGAAGAAGGGGCTCCGGCCGGCTGCTCATTGCCGCGCAGGGCTGCTTCCGAGTGGTTGCAGAACGGTACGAGTGTCAGACTCATGATCGCAAGTGGCTGTTGCCGACAGGCGATAGCACGACTGGCTGCAACATCGTTGCTGACGCAGTAGGAGATTATCTGGTTGACCGCGACTGGTGGCCTACTGCAATCAACATCTTCACAGAAACAGAGAGCTTTGTAGCAGTCGAGCGGCACATGCGGCGGATTACAGCGACCGCTCTGGCAGCCTCTTTCTCGCAGCAAGGGCTGCGACGCGCCCTCAGTCAAGTAGAGTTGGCGCTGCTGCACCAGTGCTTGCTGGCACACTGCCGAAAGGTTCCATCTTCTCGCGCCTTCAAGAAATTCTTGTGCTGTTGGCACGAGACTGTTGCGGTGCCACGCCTGGCAGAGCGCGTTGTTTGCTCTCACGGCTGCGTTGTGAACATCGGCTTCTCTGGCAGCTGACTCGCAACCGAAGGCAAAATCCAGACTTGCGCAGGACCATGGGCTCAGCGACTGGGCTCGACGATTTCCCTCTCCTGCCACCCTTGTTTGTGGACGCAGAGCGGCGGCTTACCGTGGAGACCCTTTGCTTCACTGTGTTCCAGCTGCTGAAGAACCAAGGCTTGCGCCCAATTGGCTTCAACACTGATGACGCAGAAGTGAGACCCTGCCCATTACAAGCTCCACGGGCCCACCTCCCTTCCATGTGGCGTGCGTGCATTGTTTGAGATCTCCACAAGGCAAACTATATGATATTCATGTTTGGTATTTCTTTTTGTGGGGCTCGGAAAGGCCTATTCTGTGCCCTACAAGGCTGGGTCTGGCAGGAAGGGTGAAGATGTGAGTGAGACCTTGCCCGTTTCCCTCCCTCTGCTCCCCAGCCTCCCCATCCCCCCAAGCCTCTCTCTCCCCAATCTCCCTCTGTCGTATGTATGTATGCATGTTTATATGTATGTATATATGAAATGTATGTATGTATGTATGTATGTATGTATGTATGTATGTATGTATGAATCTATGTATGTATGTATGCATGTATGTATGTATGTATGTATGCATGCATGCATGCAATGCATGCATGCATGCATGCATGTATGCATGCATGCATGCATGTATGTATGCATGCATGCATGCATGTATGTATGTATGTATGTATGTATGTATGTATGTATGCAACGCATGTATGTATGCATGGATTCATGTATGTATGTATGCATGCCTGTATGTATGCATGTATGTATGTATGTATGTATGTATGTACTGTATGTACTGTATGTATGTAATGTAATGTATGTAATGTAATGTAATGTAACGTCATGTCATGTAATGTAATGTAATGTATTGTATTGTAATGTAATGTAGGTATGCATGTAATGTAATGTAATGTAATGTTATGTTATGTTATGTTATGTTATGTTATGTAACGAATGTATGTAATGTATGTATGTAATGTATGTATGTAATGTATGTATGTAATGTAATGTAATGTAATGCAATGTAATGTAATGCAATGCAATGTAATGTAATGTTATGTAATGTATGTATGTATGTATGTATGTTTGCTCCCCAGTATTTCCCGCAAAAATTCGTTTTTTCCTGCGTTTTCGCACTGAGGACGTCCAAAAACACAGAGTTTTCCAGATTTTCGGCTACAGGAGGCAGGAAGCCCAAGCCAGCAAAAAAGCCGGCAGGGGGAATCGAGCCTGGGACCCCTGTTTTGCGACACCGGCTCCCCGAAGACTGCGTTTAGTGGAACGTCATCAAATTGCTGCGCGGTTGGAGGGGGGGGGGGGTTGGCAACCGAAAAACCATGCGTAATTGACGTGTCCCGGGGGGGGACTAAGGGGGGGGTTATCCTCTATCCTCTCTTAGGTATCCGACACGCCGAACAATGTCGGCGGACTTTTCGCAAAAAGTCAAAAAGTCAAAAACTTTTCGACTTTTTGAATTTTTGGGGACTTTTTGACTTTTCGAGTGTTTTTTTGAGACTTTTCGACTTTTCACTTTTCGACTTTTCGAAACAGTTTTCATTTTGTGTCCGTGACCAGCCAGAGGACACCACTCGTTTTTTTTTGAGGGTGTCCCTTTTTGGTTGGCTTTTTTAGGGAAAGCAAAAGGAATCATAACCATTTTTGGGGCCCCCTCAAAAAGGACACACCCGTGTCAAGACTGGGATTCATGTGTGTCAAGCGCGGGTTCTAAGCGCCCTGGTGCAGCATCCGCGCCCACATGTTGTAGGGTCATCCGCACCCACAGATTCTTGGTTATCCTTGCCCACACCTGTTGCTGACATGAAATTATTTGTACGTGCATGTTTGTTTGTGTTTGCGCGTGAGCGAGAGTGAGTGAGTGAGTGAGCGAGCCAGCGAGCGAGTGAGTGAGTGCGGCGCGCGCGGGTAGGTGGGTGGGTGGGTCGGTGTGTGTGTGTGAGTGAGTGGGTGGGTCGGTGTGTGTGTGAGTGAGTGGGTGGGTGGGTGGATGAGTGGGAGAGTGAGTGAGTGAGTGAGTGAGTGAGTGAGTGAGTGAGTGAGTGAGTGAGTGAGTGAGTGAGTGAGTGAGTGAGTGAGTGAGTGAGTGAGTGAGTGAGTGAGTGAGTGAGTGAGTGAGTGAGTGAGTGAGTGAGTGAGTGAGTGAGTGAGTGAGTGAGTGAGTGAGTGAGTGAGTGAGTGAGTGAGTGAGTGAGTGGGTGAGTGAGTGAGTGAGTGAGTGAGTGAGTGAGTTGGACATGCCTAGATCCAGCCTGATGCGGACGTGCGCATTACCTGCGCTACAGCCGACTACTCCGTGCAGAACGTGCGCCAGCTGTTGCCCTTGCAAAGAACTGAGAGTTGAAAGAACCATTTCTGAAGATAAGATGCTCAAGACGGCTGACGTAACAAGAAACAGGGAGGATACGGAGTGACTCAAGGCAGCTGTGAGATTCGCTGCCCCGAATCAAGGAACACAGGTTCAATGTCGCGCAACTGTCGTTAGCTGCAGCTCCGAACACAGTGTCACAAGCTTCTGCCCAGCATGCCCCTGGAGCCATGTGCATCTTTCCGGCGCGGCCACTTGTAGCAATTTGCGGGTTACGGGTTCTTCTGCCCGGCGCATGCGCCATGGCGCATGCCTTGCATGGCACGCATGGCACGCATGGCGCATGCTATGCCTGCTTCTCTGTCGCGTGCGAGCCGACACGGACATCGGGTGCGGAGGCATGGAGCTGGGGAGCTGGCAAGGTCGGGCCAAAGGTCGGGATTCCAACGGAACATTTTCTGTGGTCAAAACCGTTTTGGATCCCACTTTGGTTGGGATTGGTGAATTCACCACCCATTTTAGGTTATCTATTTTAGTGCTTGGAGTGGGATGTCTGTGACAGGTGACTGGGTTTGCAAGGGCTGGCAAGACTTGTCCTTGAGAAGAGTTTGCCTTTGGGCAGGTGAGCCATGGTGCTGTCCGTCTCAGCTTGCTTGAGCAAATCGCGGGGTACGGATTTGCGAGCTTGATGTTTTAGCATCTATGATTGATACACCCAACTTAGTAGCTGCTTTGGTGGCTGTTGCTTCACAGCCAAGCAGTTTGACATTTGGCCACGGTTCACAAATTGACTTTGCAATGCCAAGGCTTGCGGCATCATGTGAAGGTTGGATATACAGCTGCCAGCCCTGGCCAACCTTGCGGACTGCTCCGATTGGCCCGTGGAGCGCCAGGAGTGGAGCCGGCCCCGGCCCATTCGGGCTTGTGCTTTTTGGCCCCCTTGTCAGTCTAGTTGGACGACCCAGTTATTTGGCCGACCGGGCAGGTCCGCTCAATGCGCCGGGCTGCGCTTTCGCCCACCAGCGCGACTTCGGCGCGGAAGCCCTGGTGTCGCAGTGGCGCGCCTGGCTGCGGCCCATGCGCTGGGGCCCGGGCAAGTGCCAGCAGGCAACGAGAGGTGAAACAAGGGATCCTCGGCGCCCTCGGGCGGCGGCGGCGCTGTTTTTTTTGCTTTGCGCCTCGGAGGCGTCCCCATAAATCACAGGGGCAGTGCAAGGAGCATGTGCTTCCAAACAGGGGAACCCCAAGAATCATATGACAAGTTGAAACGCCTCGCCCATCATCACGCAGTTGCGTCCAATTTTGCGCCGTCCGCTTGCTCGAAGCAACCACAATCAGCTCAAGGCAAACCGTTTTCAATATCAGCTTGAAGCGGCAGTCTTCCAAAATCAACTACATCCGCTGCTGGAAGTCAGCCCCCAGCTTGGAAACGCAATTGTTCTTCCTGCGCAAAGCTCGAAACTGCCAGCTAACGCAGGGTTTCCCTTTGGGTTCCCTCAGCCTTGCTGGTCCTCAGTAGGGAATGTGGATGAGCCTAAGGGTCCCTTTAAAAGGAACCAGTTGGATGGTTTCTCTTGGGTTCATTCCAAGTCTCATTCCCTGAGCACCAGCAAGTACCCTTCCTCCCAACATGGCACCTGTTAAAAAGGTAACATGGAGCTCCTTTTGAAGGGACCTGTCAGTTGCCACGTGGGAGGGTAAATCTGAGACCTTTCCGTGTTCGCCAGGTTTCGCCGGAGCTGGACGCTTTGGAGCTGCGCTTCGCGGCGGAGCTCCGCGTGCGACCGCCAGGCGCGCGGCGGCTCGCGGTCGGGGCGGCTGAGGCCGCGGGCGGCTTTGCGGAGCTCTGGCGGCGCTGCGGGGCGCTGGCGCTGGTGCAGGGCTTGGCAGAGCTGGACGCCGGTTGAGAGCAGTCGCCAAACCAGGGCGTGTCTTTTTTCGAGGGTGCCTTTTGGGGTCGCTAATGAGGGAAACCAAATGGACACCTCCGATTTTTTTTGGGGTTCCCCTGTTTTAAGACGCACCCAATCTTTGTTTGTGGGGAATGGAGAATTCCTAAAGGGTGCCTTGACCACCGAAAGGAGCATTCCTGATTTGAAGCAGCCACCGAAGGAGGCAGACCCTGTGAGCGGAGCTCCAAGTTGATATTTGTGGTTTGCTACTGGGTCGAGGGAGGAAGGTACAGGGATCGCGTCCAAGAAAGAGCTGCCATTACTGTTTTGGCAGAACCCCATGTTGAACAGGCTTGAAATGCAAAGGCTAACAGCTGGGCACTCCTTCTTTTTGTTCTTTTCCGAGTTCTTTCCGTGTGTTTGGCGCTGCTTTTGGTTGGAACAGTGTTGGGATTTGACAGCACTCCGATCTTCCACTTCCAAATGCCCGCAGTGTGAGAGGCCAGCAATTCCTAGGGGGCACAGCCTTTTCTAGCAAGCCAAGCAACTTGGCGCCGAGCCTAAGGGACCCGACATCAGAAACACCCCTGCTCCAACCACATTCCATCCCAGGCAGGAACTTGGGATCCATATCTTCTTTTTTTCTTCCGCAAGATGGATGTTTGGCAACTTGTCGCTGTTGATTCATCTCCTTTGAATGGGTGCTGCTCACTTTTTTGCACACTGCCTTAGCATGCTGGTGAGTTGGATGATAGTTGTCAGGTGGTTCCTTCCAAGAGGAATCATTGATAGGACATGGCCGCAGCATTTTGCGAGGATCGAGGAAGCAACGCCATGCATTTCTTCCGAACATGTTGGGTTCGAGGTCTCTGCACATGAAGGCACTTGCTCACCTGAGCAGTTTGTTCGTTCACCCGAGCAGATCCACCTCTTACTCCCTGAAAAACCTGGACTCCAAACTTTTTGGAACGACCATTTTAGTGGTAAACGTTTTTTTTTCTTCTCTTCCGTGACCTTTTTCTGGACCGTCCACGGAAGTGAGGCCGTTTCTTCTGCCGCCCCCGGCAGGAGGGTCTCCTGCCGGCCGCGGCGCTGCCGCGGCTGCTGCGGCACTTCGCCCTCCGCGGGGCCCTCGGGGCCGCCGGCGGCGGCGCGGCGCACTCGGCGCACTCGGCGCTGCTGCGGCGCGCCGAGGCGGAGGTGGTAGGCGCGGACGAGTTTTCTCAGATGCGGTCGAGCCAAGATGCGGCGGATGTCCAGAGATTGCACAAGATCTGTTGGGGAAGACGGCTCTACAGACATTCGCAGATGTTGTGGCAAGCAGCGAGTTTTTGAGTGGGTGAAGGAAGCAGGAAAGCATGGCAGCAGCACGAACTGTCAAGTGTAGAGCCTGCGTGTTGAGCCTCGAAGCGGCGCTTGAGTGATGTTGCTTTCTTGTCGAAATTTGTCTTGCTGGTGCTCAGTAGGGAATGAGAGGGAATGAACCGGTTTTGGGGATTTCCAAGCAAACCACTTGGATGGTTTATCTCGGGTTCATTCCACTTTTCATTCCCTGCATCTCTCGCACCAGCAGTGCGACTCGAGAGCCTCGGAGGCCAGTTTCGGCAGCAGCTCAGCAGAGGCGTCGGCTGCGACGTGTGCTGCTCAGACGCCGCTTGTCCCCACGCAGCTGAGGCATCAGGCAGGGTTCGGTTCGGCAAGGTGGCTGGGGGGTAATTGATTTATGTCTCTTTTTTTTGGGGAAAATGGTGGCTTTCCTTTTGGTTTCCCTGCCAACCCACTTAAAAAGGGCTCCTTAAAAGATCGCCATTTTGCAACCATTTGAAACATGTTGCCTTTTCAACACCAAAGTAAAGTTGGACACCACCATTTACAAGTTGCAATGTTCGATCGGTGTTTTTCATGCATCCGGATCCCTGTTAAGACCATAAAAACATTCTTTTTCTCCCCTGGCTCAGGCCTTTGTGCTTCAGACACCCAGTTCGATGCTGTCCAAGACCTGCGGGACCGCCTGTGGTCGCGCGCGGAGATGGTCTTGGACGCTGCGGCCTCGGAGCGCAAGATTTGCGCGGAAAGGGCTGGAGAGACCTGCGCCTTTGTGGCCATGGGCCAAAACCCAAATCGTAGCCCGCAGTGAACATCCGATTCAATCCAAGCACTAAAATAGGAATCCTAAAATGGGTGGTGAATTCACCTACCCCGAAATGGTAGGTGTTGACCCACGGCCTTGTGTCTCTGGAAATTGGAAGCGACTTGGATTTGCCATCCCAATGCTGGAAATTGCTCCATCAATAGTGCCATTGCGGTATGAATTCATTCCTTGCCCAGCTTTACGCTCGGGAGAATCCAGGAGCTTGCCGAAAGATGGGACATTTCTGTCACTTGACTGGCGAGGATGAACCCTGGGAATCGATCCGTTGGCTCTCTACTTACCTATCAAGTGATGGACAGAAGCCAGATGAGCAACAGCTTTCATCGCAGCCACTTCTGTCATCACCAAATTCTTTGCAATCTTCACTGGAGATGAAACGAGATGAGCACAATTAAGTTGCTAAGAAACGCAGATGACACACAATAGGCGCGACCAGCAAAGATAGAGAGAGAGATAGAGATGCAACAACTCCAAGAGACAATACTTAGAACAATAAGACTAAAATCATAGATGCAAGCCGTGATACATAGAGAAAACAGAGGGAATGTCCATAAATCGAAGGAAACAACCTACTCTTACGAAATGCATTTCCTGGAGATGTAGCAGCATCAGACAAATCAGTAGTATATTATCCAAACCGGTCATAAGGATTTGGAAGCTAGAAAGCTTCAGGCCGTAGAGCTTCAGAAGCCGCTCGACAACTCGACAACACCCAATCAGGAACTTATCACAAATAAGACGTTTCAAGCAATCGAACTAGACGGCGCAAAGAATGAATTGAGATGAAACAGTATGAGAACACCATCTCATGATAAGTGAGTTCCAGTCCAGAGACATATGTCAAGACCTGTAAAGTGTGATGTTTGCAGCTATTAATATGATCATCCTGGCAGCAAACCGACAACATGAATCTGATACCACTTCTAAATGTAACGATTTCCCAAATACCAATATCTAGAGATCATAGCATAGGAACACGTCTCTCTAAGCCAACTTCTTAACAGGGTTCAATTCTTTGCCGTGCCTTCCATGAAAGAGATGGACGCCGACTACTCTTCTTGCATGAGACGGCGAGGCTAATGTATTTGTCACTACTTGTGTTTTAATGCATTTCTTTAAAGTGCTTCACGAGAAAGGAAACGCAAGACTGATCCCACCATTGAAGCGCTTAATCATTTACTTTGCTGCCACTTTCTTTACAATCATACTCAGTTTTGTTTAGCATACATATACGTTTTGGTTATTACTTTGTTTGTATTATTTGTGTTTGGAGACAAAACAGAAAGGTCCATGTTACTATTTTCTTGACATGATTTGGTCGTGCTTACGGCGCTAGAATCGCACAACCATCAGTTGACATGGTTTGAACAGAACAAGCAACACAGTCATACTCATTAGCTGGACAATCCCAAAGCCGAAGCTGTTCAGATGCAATATGGCAAGACCCCTTCAGCATTGTGGTTAACCTCAAGATTTTTGATTTTGTTCAAGACACCCCCAAACTTTGTGGGACAGCTTGCTTTGCTTTCGAAGGCTGGCCCTGCCATGTTGGTGCAACCCTTCGAACACTGCTCTCGGCTTAGTGCTCCTGGACGCCTACGATGTGTGTGTGTGTGTGTGTGCTTTTTGAGGGTACTTGTGGTGGTATTTTTGGGGTGCAAAGGGAAATCAAGAGCAAGACCAGTGTGGTTGTCTTTGTTGTTTTTTTTGGGGGGGAGTCCCTGTTTAGAGGAAGGCCCGTGTTTGCGCGTGTGCCAATCATCGTGTTTGGCACCAAGAGCTGCTGGCTGAGCTGAAGGTGAGAGGGTGGCGCAGGAGTCTTCCAACAACAACCTCGAAGAGGAGGTGGCGAAATCCCGGCGCGTTTCCCCCCCCTCCCCCCTTTTTTTGCGCAAAGTGGGCACCACTCTGCAAGACAGAGAAGAGAAGACCACACCCACCCATTGTGTGTTTTGCTGAAGGATACTGAGTGAAGTATACTAATCTGGTTATGCAGAATCCTTCCGAATTGCCATTGGTTGCACTTTCCATCTTCCAACAATTGTGTGTGTGTGTGTGTGTGCAGCGTGCCGTCATGTGTTGGAAGATGTTGGAAGTGATGCCAGGCTGGCCTGGAATGCCTCGGTCTCAATGCCCAGTTTCTGCCCAGTGTCTTTCATGATTTACTTTTTAGTGACTCGTTCTGACTCGTCGGAAGCGGACCACCGACGTGCCTCGCTTCGGTTGGGACTGGGAAAGGCTCGACATGTCAATCGAAGCGCCGCTTCCGAGCCAATCGAAGCAAAGGAAGCGGAGAAGTCCTCCTGCGTTTTCCATGAAGCCCGGGCCTCATTCGGAGAAGCTGCCCAAGGGAGCTAAAAAGACTCCAGCTGCAACCCACGTCGAACGACGCTGACACTTTCCCAGCTGATACGAGCTGCCCAAATCAGAGAGCCGAATGAAAGAAACTGACTATGTGTCCAATGGAGACGGCATGCAACGCCAGATCTTCGCTTTCTTGCGCTTCAAACGTCGGCCTCAGGTGGCCGACGCTGTGTACTGCCACGCGCAGCTGCGCCAGGAATGGCGGGTCTTCGGCGCTGCGCGGGCGCTGCAGCAGGCGGGCTGGCGTAAGCATGTCACCGGGGCCAGTCTGGCAGGACCCGAAACGAAGTGAAAGGAATTGCCAGGAGTCTGAGGCGTGCTGGTTTTGGTTTACTTTTTCAGGGCAGTGTTTGTGTTTATTCTCTAATGAGAGCGGGGTTCACCGGCGGAGAACGGGTGAGTCGGGAGGCTTTTGCGCATTCTTCGTGGTTGCTTGGCTTCACCCTCCCATCTCCTCTTCCTAGTCCGCAAGACCGGGCTGTGGTCTTGAGCTTGGGGTTGCGTGTTGGCGGCAGCGTGTTCCGCGTTCTGCCCTGGCATCGAAGCGCGGGGCTTCTTGAATCTTGGCGAAAGAGGTGCTTTTGCTTATATACCAAGAACAAGGTTCTCTCAACACGCAGATGGTATGAGCCGGGCATTGAGGGAATGATGCCCTTCTATCATACAGGATGAGTTGTTGTCACAAAGGCCGGCACCATTCCAAATGTGAGGTCAACGGAAGTTCGGGAGTCAATGGCACCGAGATTTACCCCGGCCTTGATCTCAATGAAATTATGCTTAAGGTGAGCTTCTTTTTACCTCAATGCATGTCCATTTTAGAGGAAAAATGGAGGAGACACGGCTTACTCACCTTCATCTGGGACCAGGCTCCATCATATCGCATGAAAAAAATCAATCACGACTTGAGTTGTGGCGATGGGCGCTCGCTCGTCGCATGCGAGGCCGCCTTGCTCCTTCTCCTTTGCCAGGGCTGTGGGCCCCTGTGGCCGCCGCCTTGAAGGCTTTGCTTGCGAACAGCTGGCACGATCTTTTTGAGCTTAGTGACTCTGATTCGGTGCGATGTGAACGGATGCATGGCAGAAGGCGTGGCTTGGAAGTAAGGCGTGACTCAGGGTGTTTGTCCAGAGTGAGCAGCTTGTTTTTGGAAAGACCTGTCAAGGGGCAACAAGTAATAGACAGAATTCGGACTACATCCAATAATTCAGAAGCCGACAGATTCTGGGCCTGAATTGAACAGAGAAGAATGCAGACTGAGCTGCCTTCTCATCAAGAAAGGGCAAACCAAAATTTTCACCTGCTGATCCGGCTGTTCCCCGGGACAAGCTGAGGCCGCTTCCGTTTACAATGGATGAGCTGTGAGGTCCTCAGAGATCAGACTTCGCGCAGCACTTTTGGGTTCTGCAAGGTACGTCAAGCTGCTTCGAGAGTTGCAGTTTGCTCGGGTGAGAGTGAACTTAGTGTCTTGTCCATGTTAAGACTGGCCACGGGCAACACACGCGTATTGTCTCAGGTGGCACAACTTCTATGTGGCCATTGACATGGCCACCAAAGTCGCCGAAGCTGTGAAGGCAACGGGGCGAGATTTGTGCGTGTGCAAACACTGTGACGAGTCGATGCTTACGCCTCCTGTCAGGAGAACATTGCCCAGAAGCACAGGCTGGCTTTGACTTGCTGCAGAGGTTCATGTGTGATAGTTTGACAGCCAGCGCGGTGTGTGCGTTTGCTTTGCCGTTTGTCAATTTTAGAGGTCGATGGGTCGAGAATCGTGCATGCCAACAGTTGCCCTTGGCTTTTTCCACCTCAGCTGAACGTCCCTCAGCCTCCGTTGCTCAAGGCAAGAAACAGGGGCTTGCACGGTTTAGCGCTTACACCTTTAAAGCCACACAAAACGTGACACTCAACAGGGATCCTTCATTATACAACCTTTATTTTGCTGGAAAAAGCCATGTTTCAAATGGTTGCAAAATGTATCTTTTAAGGAGCCCTGCTCAAAAAACCGACCCCCCCAGATGCCAGGGATTTGGCCGTGCTGTTGGGCGAGAGCACAATTTGGAGCCAAGTGGCGTGAGACTCGGCAGCTCCCCTCTGAGATCACCGAATTGAAGCGGGCCTGTTTTTTTTATATATAGGTTGGACCCCGCAAAATGGCTTCGGGATTCCTTATTAAAAAGAAACACAACACCAAACAAGGGGTGCCATGAAGAAAGAGAGACAAGTGAGCTAAAGGACGATTCGGTCTTGACCCGGCATGACATGGGACGACCTTTGGAACAACCAGCGCTGAAGATGCATATGCCGAGCCAAGTCTTGCCAGGCAGTTTGACATGTCGTAAGTCTAAGTCTACTGTGCGCGCTAAGGAAGGGACCGCCGGGCAGAGCTCCATGGACATGATGAAGCCTCAACCGCTGCAAGGCGGGCTGCAAAGTGAAAAACATGTGGCCATGGATCATAACCTATGGCTCCATTTTGGGGGCGGATGAACACCCAATGTACCACCTATTTTGATGTTAATCAGGGGCAAAGGGTTTTGACCCACAGTCATGTGGTCAGAGCTGAGTTTCAGCCGTTTGGCAGTTGCGGGTTGCAGCAACCCTACCTGAGCTCAAGGCCTCGTCGCTTGCTGCGCAAGCGACCCCACAGCAGCTGCCTTTTTCCACCGAGGTTGGCACACTTGCCCACTTGAGCTGGGGCAAGTCTCGCTGGCCCCTGGAAGGCTCGAGGCTGCTTGCCGAGCATCCAACCGTGAGTGACGGAGCAGCTGTGCCGGGGATGTGCTGATGGTCCTGTTGACGGCGCTGGCTTTTTCTTTTTGCCGATTTGTTTGTTGCAAGTTTTGGGCGAGTGCATGTTTTTCCGCGTAAGGGGCCGATAACTGTGATCATGAGTCCTGGTCGCGAGAGGTTGGTGGGAACTTACTGCGAGGGCGTGATGGCACAGTGAGTCTTCAGGCAGGTCGACTCATGCTGGAGACCCAATGATGCGCCGAGCCATGTGATTTCTGTCAGCGTTGCCCTTTGCTATTTTCAACCAAACGACCTTGCTGAATGACGCATCTTGTCAGCTATCGCACTCGAAAGCTGCAAGCAGTGATTCTCAGTGATTGTGGCGCGTTGCGGCTAGAACTGTGAGCTGGAACAAGAGGACGATTTGTGAGAAGGTGACCTGGTTGCTTGTGGCCAAGAGAGGAGTACTTGCATGCGAGGCGTGCCACTCAGCCGTGGTCTATCATGCCCACGCGTCGTCGGGAATGCCAAGGCACGTGGCGTCGAGTAGCACTGAGTCAAGGGGACATCCTTCAAGCATTCTCGCTCCTGATAAACCTGGCGGAAAGCCCCTGGAACACCTGAACACAATGCAGGATGCTGTCTTTGAGGCTTGCCACTGCCAAGCGAAACTCTGGCGAGGCGTCCGGACGAAAGGACTCTGCTGGTGCTGCCCCTGTCAGATGTGCCGATGGCCCAAGTGCAATTGCAGGGCCCTACCCTGGTGCCCGAGCTGTGTGTCACGCAGATTTGTGGCTTGCAGCGCAGCTTTCTCAGCTTGACAGAAGGAACGGAATCCGAAGAGAGTAGCTCAGAGTGGGTGCTTTGGATGGAAGACAACAACGACCATCCGAAGCCAGCATTTGTCTTTCCAGGGTACGTGCCAATGTCGCTTCGCTGGGAATGGCTTTGGACTACAGCCGCTTTGATGGACTTGAATGTGAAGAAGAGGGAACCTTGGCAGCAGCAAGATGTTGAAGTCGAAAGGCAACTGTGAAGCTGTCAAGCAGCCTCGCCTCTCGTGCTTCTTGGTTGCCCGAGCTGTTTTTACAGTCAGAAGCCTTGCTATGTGAATGTAGCCTGCTCTTTCATGCTATCAAGTCTCACAGCAGTACTTGAGGATACTTGTAACGACCCTGACGACACTGGAAGTGTCAGTTTTGATTTGACCTGGCTTATCAGGACCCGCCGGACAAGTCGATGGGACACAGGCAAGCTTGGGCGAAGAGCAAAGATCAGATGGCATGAGCAGGTGTTGCATGCCATGGCAGAACACCATTCCGACCCAGTCGCCTCTTTTGGAATGCACGACGCAGCTGAAATACACTAGTTGGGTCTGCCTTTTTTAGGGAACCCACAAAACGGGGTACCCAACAAAACCACGAGACACCCGGCACATTTGGTCCCCGTGGCGCGCAGGCTGCGAACGCCCTGTGTGGCGTTCGCGCTCAGCGGGAGCGAGCGCAGCGCCTGGCGGCCATGGGCCAAACACAGGAGGCACTAGGCGCGAGGAGGGGGCGAGGGGTGAGGGCTGGCTTTCGATTTCGCCGCATGAAATGGCTGTGGTCGTCAAAGCCGTTTTGGATCCCATTTTTGGGGTAGGTGAATTCACCACCCATTTTAGAACCTATTTTAGTGGGGATTGGGATGTTCACTGGGGGTACGATTTGGATTTTGACCCAGCCAAATGACTCACATGGCGCCTTCAAGCACTGAGACTCGGCCTGTTGCTAGTGGGAGGTGTTTTTGGCGCTTCCTTGGCCTGGTGTGGATGACATAACTCAATGGAGGCCCAGAGCCGCCAAGCGACAGTTACTGTACCGTTGCGTCGCAGGACTCTACGAGGACGCTGGCAAGATGCTCTTGTCCTTGCAGGACTTCCGAAAGAAAGCTCGCCTGAAAGGCAAAGGGGCACTGCCAACAGCTTGACGCTTTGCGGCGAAAATCAGAAACCTTCACTGCGTGCCTTTTTTTTCTTCTTCTCTTTTTTCTCGGGCAATTCACATGACACACGTGCAATGCGGATTGCGCTTGAGTATTGACTTGTGTAAAGGAACCTCCCCGTGCTTTAAGGGCAGCCGAACTCAGACAGATCAAACTAGAGCTCGCGGAATGCGCCAAAGACGCTCATGCTTCACGTATCGGACGATAAACAAGACGCAGGTGCGAGAGGAAGCAAGCGGACAAGATGTGAGAGACAGAAAGAAGGACATTATGGTGACCCCTCTTGAACAAATCAGGTCTGGAAATGTCACCAAGATGTCATGAACAAGATGGGAGGGAGAGAGTGACACAATGAGACACTAAGATACTGCTACAGACGCGGACACGCAGGAACAGACAGACACGCCAGGATGCCAACAGGGAGTGCGCGCTGCAGGCCAGAATTGTGGCTTTAGTGGCAGTTCCGCTTTGTTTGACAAAGTTTGGCAGGAATTGTCCCATTGAAGTCCAAATTGTTGAAGATATTTCGCGGCCGATGCCCATGCAGTTCTTTCTTGTTCCATCTTGTCATGCTCCCAGCCAAAAAGTGGCGGTGATGAATCGACTCCCGAATAGCATCGTATGGGGACGGACTCGCATGCAGGCCATCGACTTGAGGGTCGAAGCGCTGCAAGTGCGCTTGGAGGTGGCCAAGATCTTGACGCTGCAGGGAGACACCTGGCCGAACAATCTCGCAGAACATACTGTCCAAACAGGCACAAACAAACGCACGCAGAGACACGCTCACGTGCTCACACACCCACCCACCCACCCACCCACCCACCCACCCACCCACCCACCCACCCACCCACCCACCCACCCACCCACCCACCCACCCACCCACCCACCCACCCACCCACCCACCCACCCACCCACCCACCCACCCACCCACCCACCCACCCACCCACCCACCACACGCACGCACGCACGCACGCACGCACGCACGCACGCACGCACGCACGCACGCACGCACGCACGCACGCACGCACGCACGCACGCACGCACGCACGCACGCACGCCCGCCCGCCCGCACGCACGCACGCACGCACGCACGCCGCGCGCGCCCGCACGCCCGCCCACGCACGCACGCACGCACGCACGCACGCGCGCACGCACGCACGCACGCACGCACGCACGCACGCACGCCCGCACGCCCGCACGCCCGCACGCCCGCACGCCCGCACGCCCGCACCCCGCACACCGCACACCGCACACCGCACACCGCACACCGCACACCGCACACCGCACACCGCACACCGCACACCGCACACCGCACACCGCCACCGCACCCGCACCCGCACGCGCACGCGCACGCGCACGCGCACGCGCACGCGCGCACACGCATACACACACTTGCACGCTTGATGACATGAACATGATTAGTCTTTGCCCTTACGCTATGCTCCCTTTCTTTGTACCAGTGGTTTGGTCGTTCAGGGGGTCACCCGGAGGTTCAAAGGAGTTGCGATCCTCAGCATGCGAGCAACACTGCGATGTGCCAATTCATCTTTGCCCAAGCTTTTGAGCTTTGACGGCCCACTGGGCCTGGCCTCGGAATCCACATGTCCAATCAATCATCAATTCCGTTCGCGCATCCAATGCGTCACTTGGCCTCTGCAAGTTTGAAGTGGCCGAAGCGAGTCCACTGAGTAGTGCAATGTCATTGGTTGCAAGGAAACAATGGCCACTACGCAAAAAGTCCAGCAATTCAATTGCAATTTAGAGCTCGTTGGAGAAGCTTTAAACACAACTATGTTCGTGACACCACTTGAATGACGGGCATGTATTAATGAACATTGGTGAACTTGGTGAGTCCGGGGTAGTTGGGGATGGTCCGGACATGGCTTTAGACTGGCCCCTTTGGCGGGGAGAACCACACATGCAGCGAACATTTTTTGGCTCGACCCCAGGACTGGCGCCAGGCCGGGGAGACCAAATCACAGACTTTGCCAGGTGTGCCCTAGTTGTTTTTTTTCCCCCAGATAGCTGAAAGCTATAGGGGTTCTAACTTCTAATAAAGAGGGGGAAGTGATTTGCGAGATTGATGGGCTGGTGCTAAGGGGCGTGCAGTTTGGGGTGCTGGTTTATGCGGATTGGGGTGCTGTTTGAGGTGCTGATGGCAGTGCGGGCGCATCATTTCAAGATTGATGGTAGGGTGCTAGGGGGCATGTGCTGTCTTGGGGGTGACGGTGTTTTTGCATCTTTACGGTAGGGTGCACGGGGGCATGCAGTTTGGGGTGCTGGTGCTGGTGGTGTTTTGGGATGCTGTTTGGGGAGCTGTTTGAGGTGCTGGTGACGGTGCGGGTGCAATTTGCGATATTGACGCCCGGGTGCTATCGGGCATGCAGGTGACGGCGCAGGCACATGGGTGCTGTTTGGGGGTGCTGTTTGGGGTGCTCTTATAGGGTGACCGTGCAGGCGCATTTTTGCGAGATTGACGGCAGGGTGCAGGGGGCATGCAGTTTGGGGTGCTCCTGCAGGTGCTGTGTTGGGATGCTGTTTGGGGTGCTGTTGGAGGTGCTAGTGATGGTGCGGGTGCTCGATTGACGGCCGGGTGCTGTTTGGGACGCTCTTTGGGGGGTGCTGTTGGAGGTGCTGGTGTGCAATCATTGCTATCTGGGGTCTATGCTGGTGTATTTTAAAGAAAAATAAAACAAACAAAAAAAAATAAAACAAAAAAAAAATCGCGCAGCGAATTTGCGATTGCGGGCACTTGTCAAGTGGTTTTTACCTATGGATCCTATGGCATGTTCGGATCAGTTCCTCTTTGGCCTTCAGAAGCGGATCAGCCCACGTTGGGCCCCTCTGCTCAACCGAAAGTGTTTCACCCCTTGGCTCATGCCGAAGCAGGCCGAAGCTGCAGCCAGCAGGGCCATCGAGGCATTCCGCGCTCGCTTTTTCGCGTCGCGTGTGAACTGAGGGCCTCAAAGGAGTCGCAAACGGGGTTCGTTTGGGCGACAACCAGGTCCAAGGCGCAAAAAAGGGGGCCAAACGTACTCGATCTGGACAAATGTGCAATGGTCAAAACTCCTAAGATGTCGGTCATGATCCCCTCACAAATCCCTTACATTCGTTGTCCAACATCCCTGAAGGGTCCACCATCCCCAGCCCAAGTGGAAGGAAAGCTGAGGTTGCTGCTCTTGCATGCCCTCATCATCTTCACTTCCCTGGGGCCCGGTGCTTCCAGTGCTAAACACTCTGAAGACTCTGAAGCCATGCCTGCTGTGCTGAACCCCGAAGCTTCTCAATACGAGTTGGACTGGTGGAAAGTTTTGTGACCTCATGTTCGGATCCAGGCGGCCATGATTGCCCCTGACAGCCAGCTGGCAGAGATGGGGCTAGTGCCTCAGGAAGACGCGTCAGGCGGGACTCTGCGGCCCCAAAGGTCTGGAAGGAGGACGATTCCCAATTTCTGGCTGGTTCGGTACTAGCGTGCCATCTTCTTGTTTTCCCGGAAGCAATGTTGGCAGGCTGCCAGTTGAGAAATGAGCAGGACTGTGAGCTTTGATTGTTGGAGAGCGCCCACGACGTGGAAGCACAAGAGTATGGGCCCGCTAAAGAGCTCCATTCCTCTATTGGCTCTCCCAAGGCCCACGTCCAAGGCCCACGTCAAGGTCCACGTCTCGGTCCACGTCGTCGTCGGCAGGTCTGCTGGCGCACGTCGACGCGGTGGAGGCGTTCCTTTGCCGCGCCCGGGTGCGGCT